GAGAACCTGATCACCCCTTACATACTCCACATGTACAATTGAATACAGCTTAGCAGCGGCTGCAATGAAATCAACCACTTGCTCCCATCTCAAGGACTTCAATGAGAGGTCCCAATGCATGACAAGACGAAGGAGGTGATCATGGTCCTTTGGGATGCAAGTAGCACAGAACCTCTCACGGTTCATTTTGTTGTGCAGCAGCTTCTCCACCTCTTTCAAGTTCGGCAGGAAGGTTGTCCACCTAGAATCCACCAAGATATTGGATTGGTGGCATATGAAACTATTTGATTTGGGTTGAACTGGGATGTACCCAAGAAAACAAAAACCAAGTTCCTTCAAACACATGTATAAAACATGTACAGTATAGTAAGCAACATGTTTTTGCAGCCAAAGTTCGATTTCATTTGGTCCAGGCTTGCATGCATAGCATTGTCACAAATATGCTTCGGACCAAAACATTGAAGGCAGTTTGGAAACCTGAGCTGCTGACACATTGGTTGGCAGTTTTAGAATCTTAGCTACTCCAAATATATATTCACTCACACAAATCTAACAATTTGAAATTGACATATGAGCGGTGGCATTTGTTTAGTACTAAACTCAAATACACTATCTATTATGTGGGTGCCCTGTCTTGTTTAGACTACTCTAGTAGGAGGTCATATCACAGTATCTCGTTTAGATTAATTTAGTAATAGATCACATCTCGTTTAGACTACTTTAGTAGCATGTATAGAAAGTACCTTGTTTTTTTGTGGGTGCTCTATCTTGTTCATCAGTAAATACTGACATTGTGCAAACAAATAGAGCATGCCTTAGACTACTTTGGTAAAGCCTAAATAAAAGTGGTTGCTCATATGTTGTGCAGGAATAAAAAAAGCAAATCGGAAAAGAACAAGCAAGGACAAGGTGCTGACGCAGAACTGTAGGCATTGCCACCGCTGCTTCACTGGAGGCTGATGCACCTTTGTCCTTGATTGCACTGGTAAACAGGTTAGGTTACAGTTGAAATTAACACATCTTTGACATCAGACTGTGCAACTGTGGCTAAAGGCAGCTTCAGGTCAAACAAACATCTCAATCAGATTGAAGTGGAAAACACATCCAAATGTTATGCAAGCTAGGATTCTCCTTCGCTGTCTGAATCTGAAAGGACAAAAATTGCTTGGTCTTGATCACGGCTTTGTTGAACAGACTCAGGGACTTGCTGGTGAGAATGGCCAATTGAATGCAGCGAATCAGCAACAGCAGGTTGCTTAGAGACATCTTGCAAAGCAAAGCAAAAGCTGTCATCTTGAAGAGAAGCTTTCTTGGAAGGATTGTTTGCTCCAGTTGGCTTGTTCAGCGTGGAGTCAAGCTCAGTTGCAGTTTCTGTCCGCACTGCTGATGTATCAATTCTTGTAACATCTGCAACCAAATGCTCTGTGCCTAACAGGGAAAATACTCTTTTGAGCTTGAAATGAAGTACTAAACTGAACAGTGACCCACTGCTCAACCCAACCGCCAGCCAGCCCGGTGAACTACAGTAAATAACATAATTTGTTTGCTTTTGTAGCAGCAGCAGCAGCAGCAGCACTGGACAACTGATCAAAATAGGGACTAAAACCCTGCCTTGGTCAGTGATACAAGCAATCACATTCTCGCAATAGAAGTCAAGACTTCTTGGCCCCGTCTCTGCTTGTATTGAGTGCAGCAAGGCTATCATTTTGTGTGGCAAGGCTGTGCAACCTTGCTTACTTCATAGAACATTTAGACTCAGAATGCTTGTTCCCCAAAGTGTAAGAATGAAAGAAACAGGATCCACAAAGAAAACTAAGCAACTTGATTGAACCATGCTGAGAAACCTTTGCCCAGTGTCATTGGAGGAAGAACCCGAACAAACAAGTCATTCGGGTTTGCATCCTTCTCCATTGACCTGCGTTCTGCAAAAGCATCTAGCTCTGCGCCATCCGTGTCTTCAATGGCCATCCCATTCTGGTTGCGTATCAGCCGCATCCATTTCATCCAGTCTTGAACTGCAAAGTCCGACCTGTGCAGCTATCTCATGCTATGTTTTGCAATGACTGTTGGTCTTTATGTTTATTATTTGATGGCTTGTCAGTGGACCAAACATATTAAGCATACTCAGATTCAAATATTTTTCCAAGACCAACAGGTAACGGGTTCCAGCCCAACCCTTTATCTAACTTAGCTCAGCCAAGTTGCCTAATGCTGGTCTCTTGGCACAGGAACATCTCCAGCTTCATCGGTGAGGAATCAAAGCCTCAGTGTTTTTTTGCTGCTTGTCAAAGATCAATATTAAGAGGTTGAAATGAAATTGTAAATGTTAATTGGTACTGTACTTTACCTTTACCTACATATTATATACATATCCTATGGTGTAGTAGTAGCAAGTAAGGTATGGTGAAGGCGGTGCCTGTGCGCCACAGTGTCACTGTGTGTCAGTGTCCTGTCAGTGAGTCACTGTCAGTGTGTCACTGTTATATATATGCACATATTTATTTATTACTTATATTTCATAAATTCATAATGCATGTCCTAGTGAATGTGCTTGCCATATCTTCTGAGGACAATAGTACCCCGTTTGCAAACAACCAACAACTTGAAAAAGTTGCACTTGGTAATGTCACAGTCCAGCAGCTCAGTTGAATTGCATAGTCAGACCCTGCATCACAACGCTGCTGCCACTGAAGTTGCCTTAGAAGGCAGTGTCCCAAATCCAGCTTAGCAGTGCCCCTGCACATCGTAGCTGCACATGGCCCTGGCCCCTGTACTTCATCATCAAGCGCCAGTCCAACCATGGTTTCCAGAACACACTTCACGGTATCCCGTAGTCGTCTTGCATCACGCACATTGGCTCGCCTGGGCGGGTTGCATTGCATGTGATAATGTTTTACTAACTTACAATACATACAATTATGGATTCCGCATGGATTCCTGGATGCTGATGCTGCTTAGTGCTTGCTATATTGCTATAGTACATGTGATACTGATATCTGATAATCTGATAGCAAGGCAAGGATATTTTTATATGCTATATAAGTTTGCATAAGGCTTTAGTTACTTTAGTTTTGAGCTTGAGTGTGTGTGTGAGTTACTGGCCCAAAACTTTAGTTTCTAGATACTATGAAACTGCAACGACCCAGGTTGGTTGTTCAAATGAAAGTTTCAATTCAATTTAATTTGAATTTCATTTACTACCTATATATATAATATCAAGTAGTTCTAGTTCTAGCTTTTGTGTCATGTGTACAGTTGGTGTTCTAAATATAGTTCTATTTATCTGTCATCCTGTCCAGATCAGTCATTCCTGTCGGTCAATCATGTTCCATCAATCATTCACTACTGACTAGTAAACTATGACTACTCCTTCAGCCCATGTAACCAAGGAACACTTTTGCCCAGTTGTAGATTTGGCTGACAGAAAATGCTGGTCTTCCTGCAGTACCACGCACAGTTCCTTGGAGTGCCTTTTGCTGGCTGGTCTGGACTGTCTCCTGCATCAAACAGCGTTGTACCCACATCACATCCTACATATTACCGACTACCTATATATCGCTTTCAACATTCTATTGTTTAAGTTTCACTATCCTTGATTTCCATAGAAGAAATGGTTTGCAGTGTTGCAAGTTCACTGTCTATTGATTGATGTTGATTCCCCTAGACTGCTCAGCATAGTGTTGTTTTTTGATGAACTCACCTATCTAGCTATTGTGATGTGCCCAATGTTCAATGAAAAGACCCAGCTGCCTTGGTCCCCTTCAGAAGGTCCAGCAAATCTGCATATATCTTCACCTGCGCAGCTTTAGGTGCTTTCTCAAATTCGGCACATCTCCCAATCCCAATGTCGAATGTAGTAAAATAGTGTTACTAGTTGGCAGTTCTGAGATGACTATTACTCATTCTCATTCTGTAGATTCTGTAGCAAAGCATTTATATATTTATCTAAAAACACTGCTTTCATCACACCACATTTTAAGGCTTCCATATGACCATATCATCTGACACAGGCTTCCCACAGTCTCCATAGTTTTCAACCCCCAAGCCTCTGCTTCACTTCCATGTGTAAAGACACAGCTAGCTAACTGCACCAACCCAGTGTAGGCAGCAGCCAAACGGGACTTCAAATCATCATCCACACCACCAGCATCTGCCATCAGCCCCAGCTGTGTGGCAAAGTGGTAGTCACACATAACTATTGTCAACATTGTGTAAGAGTCAATCTTCACGAAACCTTCTTTCCGCACATGTTTATGGATTGATCCATTCAAAGCAACTCACTCATGTTCTGTCTACCTGTTCTTTGTGCTTGCTACTGTCAGAGCAGTAGATGGCATGGACAGCAACGGACTGCAGCTGGTTCAATGTCCAACTTGGTTGTGACCTCAAATCAAAAAAAATACACCTTCATTTCGGTCACACCCCAAGATAGAGTGACTATATCAGCTTACAAGATCAATTCCCGGCGATTGACATTTAGCGAACTCTTATGTACAGACCCCGGTCCTTAGCGACAAGGAATAAAGAAACACCACATTTGACAGCCGCACGTGTGCGTATTTATGCAATATATATATATTTATTTATTTATATAATATATATATATACTGTATATATGTATATAGGGATTATGTAGGATTATACTACATATGTATACACACACCGAAAGCAGCCATCCGACGGATCAGGACAGATGTGTCAATGAGGGATAGGTGTTTGTTCCACAGTCCAGGTTTTATGTGGACTCAAAATAACTGTTGCCTTTCGGGTAGCACACCATGCTGCTGCTTTGAAGCAAGAATGCGACCTGGAATAGACCTTCATTCTCAATGATGTGTGATGTTTCCATACATATCATCATGCATTCGACCCGCTTGCTTATTGTACCAGTCGCATCGTGTATGTGTTGATGTTGTGTTGGCCAGGAAGAAGCCCAGTGGAAGTGTGGGGTTTGGGGATGTGTCAGGTTTTTCTTGGTTTAGGCTGCGCAAGTTCTGCAGGCTCTACACCTGGGCTGGGTGACGGTTTTGAAGCTCGTCGTCTTTGTTGGATTGCTGGTCCTGGCGGTGCAACGTCGGGCATCCAAGTTTGGGGTTTTCGGCACGTTCGGCAGGTCACGGTTGGTCGGGAGATGACCACATTGGGGTGGGCAGCTTCAGCCGGGGGAGGCCATGGCTTCAGCCCAGCAAGGTGCCAAGTCCTTCGTTGATAGATTTTAGTCCTCCTCTTTTGGAGCTTTGACGCCCACGGTTGGGGAAGGAAGGACCGAGCGTCATGAGAGCTGCCATTTTTGTGCCATAGCACAGGTGTATGGTCCTTCCAATCCTCGGAGTGGCACACATATTACTGTATCCATCCTTAATCAGGAGCCAACCCTCGTGCACCATGTGATACTCGTACCAGAAATGGGACATACTCAACATATGGATATGATCCATGTATCCATCAAGCTTCATCTCACCAAAGGTCTGAAGAGCTCCATTGTGGTGCCTTTTCCTTTGTTTCCCGCTCTGAACACTTGCCCAAAGAGCAAATTTTCCAGAGACTTCCAAAAGTCACCTCCATGGTATTTGAAATCACTCATGGCCAATACTCTGGCGGTTCCAGCCACCAAGTGCTGCAGCGTAGGTGCACTATCATTCCATAAGCTCTGTACAGTGGCATAGGGACTTTTGTTTGTGCAAAGACTTGGTGCCTCACTGTCTCACCTATCTGGGCGTGTGGCAGTGCATGGATAGCGGCAAAGGTAACCTTTGTGATATATATATATATATGGACGGATCACAGAGGTTTTGTCCCGGATTTCAAGGCAGAATGTTGGTGGCAGAAGTGTTTTTTTTCGACACCACATGATGCTCATGATGCTCATTGGTTTTTACAGACTGGAGTTGATTCGGAGATCAATGACCATTTGTTTCCTTTCAACAAAAAGAGGCTGAAGATCTTCAAGTTCCTCAAGTTCCTTCTACTAAGGCAACTCTCACTCCGACGTTCACAAAACGACGTTTTTGTGGTTCCCGGCCTCCAACCACCATGGATTCAATACCCTTTACCGAACCACATCGAACAACCAGGGATTTTATACTACAAAATGTGGGGTTCCAAATCTTTCCAGCCTAGCCATTCCGGCGCCCACCAAGGGCTTGGTCCAAGGTGTTGGAAGCATATTGTTTTCACATTGCCTCCTTGTCAGGCGATGTGCTTTCAGAGAATCCCTTCTGGTTGCTTGCAGCTTTGTTTGTGGGTGTTGCGTTTTGGCAGCGCACCCTCGCAACAGGCCAGTGGTCTTAGGCCAATTTTGGCGTGTTCGATGGAAGTCAACGTGAGAAATGCAACAGACTGCCACATCGTGTCCTGTTTCAACTTAATTATTCAACTTAATCAAATGTAGTAAGCCTCGAGTGTGTCATGAGAGCTTGTTGAGGTGGATGTGGCTCAAAAAGCAAGACCCCAGACTAACTTGGGGGTTTTTCCAATGGGTTTGGATGGGATACTATTTGGTGTAGCAGCCAAAACGTTTTTTTTGTTGAGACTTGCGTGTTGTATCTCAATGCGAGGCTGGTACTTCTTGGCAAAATGCTTGTTGCTGAGATGCCGATGCTGCAGGTGAGGTCTCGCTGGAGAAAATAAGTGTGATTTGTCCTCAAGACGGAAAGAAAGAACAGAGAATTGGACGCCGAAAAGGAAAGCTTGCATTGTATTTGGTACTGGTTGCCTCTTTTGTGAGATGCGATGAACACTGAATCCGAGACAATGCTTCCTTGCAGCGACTAGGAGTAGCCTTCAGTGGTTGTTCAAGAGGTGCTAGCGAAGCTAGCTCACGCACGTTGCTGCCGAGGTGTATTTGGGAAGCCCCAATACATGGAGGACAGGTGTTTCAAGCTCCTTGAATGGAACCTCCCTTTCCTGCTTGCAGAATTATGTTGGCGGCAGGTATGTTGGAAGGACGCCTTTTGAGACACCAAGACACCAGGCACCAACCAATCAGCTGAGACGGCATTTTTGCTCGAGAGGACCTGATCAACTTCAAGCCTTGCGCCATTTTGCAACTGATTTGCAGCGCTGGGGTGAGAAGAATGCCTCTTGGCGGTTTTTTGGCCAGCTCGGCCTCTTGGAGCTGACTGAAGCCATTTCAGAACAGCATGGACTTATTTCACCCATCATGTAAATCGTATCATGTGACATGCTTAGATTGGCAAGGGTACTCTCAGGGATGGAACAAGAATCGCCTCGTCAAGAATTGAGGCTGGTATGGCGTGGCCCATCTTGGCACAGCGCTATGACCTGGTCATTTTTGTCCTCCTTCTTCAGATTGCTGCTCGGGCTTCATATCGTAAATGGTTTTACTTTGGAGGCAAAAGTTCCAGAGGTCCAGGGCCTTACTACTAGGAGCAAGAAGCTAGTAGGAGCAAAGGGCATCGCCACTAGGAGCAACGACGCTACTAGGGGCTCCTGGCCTTACTACTAGGAGCAAGTAGCTAATAGGAGAAAGCATCTTGATGTCAGACGACTGTCATGGTTCCAGTGCTTTCTGGTAAGGCACTCTTCGGCAATTTCAGATGGTCTGGAGGAGCGTTGTTCCTCCTCCTTTTAGCTGCTGAGATTGCACAGCATAGCCAGACAGGTCAGTTAAGCTCAATTTGCAGCAGATATCTTTGCAAACTTCTGAAAGGTTGCTGGAGGATAGGGAATGATTGATATGATTATCAATTATTATCATGTGGTTATCAAAGATGAATGTAATTATGTATAAATATTGTAAGGGCTCCGCCCTGGTGCCGCCGACCCCTTTTTTGTGAGACAAGGCAGCATGGCGAGGAAGGCAACAACCGAAGTTGGACATAGTGCTCCCCAGCTACTCTGCGTACTAAAGTTGTATTGCTAAGTCGCCACTTCTCATCTTCCAGCTCCACAGCTATACTCCGCGTACTAAAGTTGTACTACGCAGTCGCCAGTTCTCAGCTTCCAGCTCCACAGATTCCTCCGCGTACTAAAGTTGTACTACAAAGTCACCAGTTCTGAGCTTCCCGCTCCCCAGCTACTCCGCGTACTACAGTTGTACTACAAAGTCGCCAGTGCTCATCTCCCAGCTCCCCAGATACTCCACGCCCTCAAGTTGTACTACCCACTCGCCAGTTCTCATCTTCCCGCTCCCCAGCTACTCCGCGTACTAAAGTTATACTATACAGTCGCGAGTTCTCACCTACTACCCACTCATCAGTTCTCATCATCCCCCTCCCCAGCTACTCTGCGTACTAAAGTTGTATTGCTAAGTCGCCATCTTCCAGCTCCACAGCTATACTCCGCGGACTAAAGTTGTACTACGCAGTCGCCAGTTCGGGGGGTTTGGAGCGTCTGATTCTCGCAGAGCCCAGAGACCACAGAGCAAGTGCGAGGTTTTCGAGCGTCTGAAGCATCCATGGAGCGTCTGAAGCGTCCAGAATCCAGA